CGAGATTTGATAGACCTTTTGATCGAAAGCATAATTTAAGAGTTCTTGGAGTTCTTAGGCCTGTATCCTATGTTAAATTGGTGATTTGATGTTGTGGTGAGCATTCCGAAGTTTTGAGCAAATTTGAACGATGTCATGAGATGTGTTGGTACAATTGGTTTGAAGTTCCGGGAGTTTCGGGTAGGTTCCGAGATGTTTTAGTGCAAAAATCATAGTTGTAGAAGGTCTACAGGGGTTGCAGGCCCCGGAACTTACTCACGCGGTTCGCAAAAAAATAGGTGCGCCCACGTTGAGTGCTGTGCGGACCACACAAAAGCTGCCGCGGCCGCGGTAGGTGTCGCGCGAACAGCACAAAAGTGGGCGCGGCCGCGATGAAGAACCCTCCCGCTGGTCCTAGTCGGAAGCTCATATCTTTTGATCTACATGGAATTTTGAGGTGATTTAAAAATGAAAGTTGTAGCCCTTAGTGTCTAGTTTCAAGAAAGGTAACGATATTGCAATTTGGACATCTGTACCAAAAGTTATTGCCAAAATACTAATGCCTGTCACTGTAGAGGGAGGCCTGTGCGGCCGCGGCTGCCTTTGCGCGGACCGCACTGGCTTGTGCGGACCGCGTGAGTTTTAGTGCGGCCCGCGGTAGCTGAAACCTGAGGGGTACCTATAATTACGAGGTTTTGGATTTTATTTAATATTTTGACCTAGAGAGCTTGGATTTTGGCGATTTTTCGAAGGTTTTTCAAGAAATTCATCGGGGTAAGTGATTTTAACTCAGATTTGGCTAGAATACATGAATCTATCACTGAATTCATCATTTAATTCGTGATTTGGGATGAAATTTGGGAAGAAAATTGTGAAACCTTTCAAAAATGTAAAATGATGATTTGAAGGAACAAATGGTATCGGAATTGGATAATTTTGGTATGGTTAGACTCGTGAGGTTATGAGGATTCGGAAAATGTAAATTTTACCCGATTTTGAGACGTGGGCCTGGGGCTCGGGTTTTGCTAATTTCGAGATTTTTGATATTTTTTGAATGTTTTCGCTTGGGCTTTGTTCCCTTAGCATATTGTGACGTATTCATTCTGATTTTGGATAGATTCGACGCTCGTGGAGGCCAATTCGAGGGGCAAAGGCGTCGCGAGCTAGAGAATTAGCCAGTTCGAGGTGAGTAATGGTTGTAAATGATGTCCTGAGGGTTTGAAACCCCGGATTGTACATCGTAGTGCTATATTGAGGCAAGATACGCGCTGGATGATGAGCGTGGGGTCTTTCACTACTGGGGATTATTACTTGGTCCATCCCGATTGATGACTTTACTGAATATTTGACTGAAATTCATTTGTTATCATAATGATTTGGGCTGATTGCCATATTTGGGCTTCGTGCCAACTATTTGAACCCTTCAGGGATTTTTATCACTGTTTCCATACTGCTTGACTTATTATTTGAAATCAGTCCTGTTGATATCTACTGTTTTATAAACTCAGCCACTTTTACTCAGATTTGAAACTTAAATGATATTTCTACATCATGTTTTGTGCTGAGAACTACTGTTTTACTAATGCCCAAGGGGCTTATGATGATTTTTGGACTGAGTGAGGCCAAGGGGCATATGTGAGGATATGCTGAGTGATATGAGGCCGAGGGCCTGAGATACTATTTATGCCATGCAGTGGATTGAGTGATGTGAGGATATGCTGAGTGATGATGCCACGAGGTGGATTGATATAGAGCTTGGGCCGTAAGGGGCCCCTCCGGAGTCTGCACACCCACAGTGAGCGCGGGTAACCATGTGATTTGAAATAGTGGTTACAATGACACTGTATGATGCAATTTGGTTAGGTAACAATGGCTGACCATTATGCTGAGTGATTGTGAGGTAGCCCGAGGGGCTAATACTGTACTGAGAGTGAGCCCGAGGGGCTGAACTATGTTGAGCGATTGATACTGTGCCCGAGGGGTGGATTTCTACTTGTTAATTACCTGTTTTACTTGTTTTAAAAAGGAATATCATTTGATTTCTTCACTAATTTACTGCTCTAAGTGATTTTAGTGCTTGATATGGAATTGCTTTGTGCCTTTACGTGTTTTCATACTTTCAACCATTATTTGTAATTATTACTCACTGAGTCGGAGTACTCACATTACTCACTGCACCGTGTGTGCAGATTCAGGTATAGCAGAGTCCGCACCTGAGCGTTCATTCCTTCCAGGCTAGGCAGTGATTTGGAGTTACGAGGTTGCTGTTGACGTCCGCAACCCCTTGTCTCTCTTATCCTCTATCATTTATGTTTTCTTCAGACTGTTGTATCAGATTACGTACTTTGTAGACCTATAGCAGATTCTGTAGTAGCTCATGAATTGTGACACCCCGGTTTGAGCTGTGTCGGGATGGTTCTAGCTGTTATTATCGTCAAATTCCGCAATTTATGAGTATTATATTATATGTTATTACTGTTTATGATGATTAACTGTTTAAAAGAGGTGTTTTGTTTTGGTCTGGCTGTCCTTGTCTCCGCGAGAGGCGCCATCACGACCGGGTTCGGGGATTGGGTCGTGACAATTATGAGTTCTTGGTGATGTCTTTTGGGCTGACCAATGCCCCAACAACATTCATGCATTTGATGAACAGTGTGTTCCGGCCTTATCTTGACTCGTTTGTCATAATCTTTGGTGATATTCTGGTGTATTTGCGTAGTCAGGAGGAGCACGCATAGCATTTGAGAGTTGTGTTACAGAGATTGACGGAGGAGAAACTTTATGCAAAATTCTCCAAGTGTGAGTTTTGGCTCAGTTTAGTGGCTTTCTTGGGACACGTGGTGTCCAGCGAGGGTATTCAAGTCAATCCAAAGAAGATAAAAGCGGTTCAGAGTTGGCCCAAACCGTCCTCAGCCACCGAGATTCGCAGTTTTCTTGGTTTGGCGGGCTATTATCGTCGTTTTGTTCAGGGATTCTCATTTATCGCATCGCCCTTGACCAAGTTGAGGCAGAAGGGTGCTTTATTTGTATGGTCGAACGAGTGTGAGGAGAGCTTTCAGAAGCTCAAGACAGCTTTGACCACAACTCCATTCACTACAAAAAAAACACCAATTAGCGACGGATTTTAGCGACAACTTTTGTTCCGTCGCTGATTAGCGACGGATTGGCTACGGAATAAAAGTTTCGTTGCAAAAAAAAAAAAGAAAAAAAAATAGTTAGCATCTAATATAGCGACGGAATAGCAATGAAATCGAAAATTTGTCGCTAATTGTTGGCGCTAAATATTGACGACCTCAATTTATCTACGGATTTAGCGACAAAAGTTGAGCGACAAAATTTATTTAACTCCAGCGACGGAGTTAGCAACGGAAAATCCATCGCTAGACTTAATTTTTTTATCAAAATATTTTAAAACTCCTTTCTACGGAAGTTTCCGTCGATAATGTATTTTTTAATAAAAAATAATATTATTGTTCCTAGGGCACAAATTTTGTAAAACATCAATCTCTTCCGTCGCTAAAGACAACTTTATTATTTTTCCTAGGGCACAAATTTTGTAAAACATCAATCTCTTCTAAAACAGCAGAAACACACGAGAGAGCAAAATTAGGCGGCTGAGAGCAAAATCAGTAGAAGACAGACAATGAGGGTTTTCAAGAACAAGAGCAAAAATTATTAGCCAATGTGAATCTAAGGTTTGTAGATGGCTTTGTTTCTTCTTCAATAAGCTTATCACTAATCTTTTGTTATCATTTGTGATAAAAAATCAGATTTATTTGAAACTGGTATCTCTTTGGGAGATTTATTTATATAGCTTAGCAAAATTTGTATTTTGGGACTTTTTTGTTGAATCGATTTCATGTCTTTGATTGTTACCTTATGAAACTTTATAAGAATCAGATTTTGGGTTATTCTTGACTTTAGATGTGATAAAATCAAAACTTCAAGTGAACACTGATATTTTGTTGGAATTTTATATTACAGTTATTGGAGTATTGTAGCTTAGCAAATATTATGTTTTCGATTTTTTTGTTGGACAAATTTTTGTCATATGATGTGGTTTCATTTTTTTATTGTTTATTTATATCATGAAAGCTTATAACAATCAGATTTCTGTGTCAATTTTGACACAGAAATGGCTCTATAGACCGTCATCTTCTTGGATTGTAAAAATTTCGAGAATTTTTTGGTAGATTCCTTTGGTAGTTTAATCAATCTTCTTCTGCTTATCTTCTTAATTTTTGTCCAGATCTACAAAAAAATTCTTCACATAGCTTTAGATAAATTTTGTACTAGAAATTTAATTTGTATTTTTTGTTTCATAGGGAGAGCAAAATCAATTGGGAGATAAACTGGGTAAGGGATTTCAAGAACAAGAGCAAAAATTAGTAGCCAACGTGAATCTAATGTTTGAAGATAGCTTTGTTTCTTCTTCTCTTTCTTATGCTTAGTACTAATTTTGGGTACCAAAATAGATAAGCCATTAATTTGTGTATATTATCAAGTATATTTGTCTAAGAGATGTTTTGTTTAATATATGAAACTAACATATTCTTTTGGTGGCCTAATTAATCTTCTCTTGCTTTTCTTCTTAATTTTTTGTCCAAATCTACAAAAAATTTATTCACACAGCTTTTGATAAATTTTGTATTAGAAATTTAATTTATGTTTTTTGTTTCATAGGGTGCTTTCACCGCTTGTGATGATATGTGAAGCTTTATTTCTTCTTAATTAACATCGTCGTCGCTTGTACGAGTAGTTAAATCAAATTTAGGTAAACTCTCTCTACTTCTATCTCTCCCCCTCTCTCTGTGTGTATATGTTTCTCTATATGTATCTAGAGTTCTCTCTGTGCGACCGATTCCAGGTGAGTAGCCAGTCAGTCTATTATTGAAGAATGTGACGCTCAACTGATGTTTCTCTGCACCTACCTTCATGTTTATTTACAACATTGTTATGGTGCTCATTCCGTTGGACCTTTCATGTCTAATTGGTTGTTCCATTTCCTACAGGGACCAAGTAAATTTATTTTATTTTGTATGTCCTTAAAAATATATTTACCATATTTCCTTTCAAGTTAGCAGCATTGATTGAAATGTTTGGAAATCTTTAGTGGTACACATCTTTATGTTTCTTCTTCCACATAAAAGGAGAATATACTATGCTAATGTGTTTACTACTTTGCTTTGATTCGGTTTCTCTTAGCTGAATTCTATGTGCCATCTAGCATAAGCTAATCTTTCTTCTTTGATACATCATTTTGGGGAAATTGTTATACCCTTTTTGTCAACTTTGGTACTACTGTTGTTTGAAATCAAGGAAAAAGCTCGAAATTGTAATTTAAGGCTGTTAAAGATTTAAAATTTTAATCAACGGTTAAAGGTGTAAAGTTTAATATGCGGGAGGTTTGTTTCACAGCCAATAGTAAAAAACAATCGTTGTTTTATATTGGTTTAAGATCTTGAAAAGGTAGGCATAATTATTCATGGTAATTAAATATTTTGAGTATTCATGGCAGTTAATATTCTTGGCATGAATAAAAAGAAAAAGTACATATAATAGATTGGAGAAAGTATCATCTAGCTATTCTTAAAATATTTGATTAATAAACTTATTCTTGATAGAAAAAAATGATGGTAAATTTTAGTATATAGGAAGAATAGTTGCAGCTGTGTGGTGTTGATATGCCGCTCCATTTAGTTTGTGTTTGCCAATAACTTATTAGAGGAAAAAACCTGCTGGTCAAGGTTGAATGATTAATTATTTCAAAGTATCTTGCAATTAAGTATGTGTGATTTTTTCACTTTAAAAAAAGAGGGCTGGGTGGTGTTTGTTTAAGTACTACTACTTGTTAAAAAATATTAGTATTTTAAACTTGAACGAGATTTAGTAATTTATTTGACCTCTGGAGAAAGACGATATTCCTTATTGAATACCAGAGAATATAGGAGCTTTCACTTGTAAATATGTGTGGAAAAACTAAAAAGAAGTTGTAGATCTATCACTCTGCACATACTACCTTATCACTAGCTATCTTTCTGCTTATTCTAATAACTAATTGCTATTATATATTCTTTACTACTACATGTTCTCTTTGTGCTTCTTTCTCATGTTCCTTTGGTAGAATTTTATTAAGCTTCATTCTGTTGTTGCTAATACAATAGTCATCCCCATGTTCCAAAAATCTTCAATGTCATTTCCAAAGAAAATCAACTTTGAAGAGGAAGAATGAATTGTTAATCTAACTTGACTGTCATTTTAGAGTATAGACTATAACTGCTGCCAATGTTATTTAGATGCAAAGGAAGAAAATTAATTACTACTACTGATGGCTGTTGCCACTATTACTTATTTTATCCTCCCATAATTTTGTCCTTGCATATAGCAGCAAATATGGAAAGTTGCATCCTCTCCATTGGTTAATTAAATGCTCAATATTCTTGACTGTTTTAATTTCACTACTTATTACACTTCTTTTACAGGAAAGATATCAGGAAATATTATGGGAACAAACACAAACTCGGTCTGATATTGATCAATGTAAAGCATATTATGAAGTCGCGGGAGGGGAAAAAAAGAGAAGATTATATAGTCTTGGATCTCAAGAAAAATTCTACTATGAGCCGAATCTTTGTGGCTCTTCTGGATCAGATGCTTCATCATCAATACCACCTTCAAGTTCTCAATCAGCATCAATAGAGAATTTGGATGAGTTAGTGATGCGTTTGATTCCTGCACTAACAGAGCGCATAATTATTGTTGGTGTTAGAGATGATTCAAACTTAATTGTAATAGCTATATGCATTTTGATATCATTTTGGACCTTGAAACATGTTAATTTATATGAACTTTAGCTATTATTAAGGATATCTAATAATTTACATTCAAAATTCATGAGCAGAGAAAATTTAAAATAATAAATAAAAAAGATCTAAAAGGGAAAGATATTGCGACAGATTGCGATGGATATTTTTCGTAACAAAAATAAATATATAAGATAATATAGCGACAGATTGCAACAGACAATTTTTGTCTCCAAAAGCAAAGATAAAATGACTCTAAAAATATTTCGTGACGGATTAGCGACCGACTTTCCGTCGAAAAGTATACCAATGACGAAATGCATTATGAATTTAGCTACACAATTTGCTAATATGACGACGGAATTTCTGTCGCTACATGTAGCAACGGATAGTATTTGTCGCTAGAACGTCGCAAATCAGCAACAGAGGAAAAGCGGTTGCAATTCCGTCGCTAATCCGGCTTGGCGACGAAAAAAAGCTCTTTAGCGACGCATATTGTCCGTCGTTAAAAGCTATTTTTTTGTAGTGAGTGCTAGTTTTGCCATCAGCTTTAGGTTCCTATAATGTGTATTGTGATGCTTTGAGAGTTGGTACTGGTTGTGTTTTGATGCAGGAGGACACAGTTATTGCTTATGCTTTTCGTCAGTTGAAGCCCCATGAGAAGAACTACCACGTTCATGATTTGGAGTTGGCTGCCATAGTTCACGCGTTGAAAATTTGGAGGCATTACTTGTATGGTGTGTCTTGTGAGGTGTTTACTGATCACCGTAGCCTCCAACACTTGTTCAAATAGAAGGATCTCAATTTGAGGCAGCGGAGATGGTTGGAGTTGCTTAAGGATTACGATATCACTATATTGTACCATCCGAAAAGGCCAATGTGGTGGCTGATGCCTTGAGCCGAAAGGTGGTGAGTATGGGGAATTTGGCATTTATTCCAGTTGGGGAGAGACCTCTTGCGGTTGATGTTCAGGCATTGGCCAATCGGTTCGTGAGATTAGATGTTTCGGAGCCTATTCGGGTATTGGCTTGCGTGGTTTCTCGATCCTTCTTATATGATCACATCAGAGAGCGCAAGTATGATGATCCGCATTTTCTTGTCCTTAAGGACAGAGTTTAGCATGATGATGCCAGAGATATGACCATTGGTGATGATAGGGTGTGAGGATGCAGGGGCGGATTTGTGTGCCCAATGTGGATGGACTTCGGGAGTTGATTCTGGAGGAGGCCCATAGCTCACAGTATTCCATTCATCCGGGTGTCGCGAAGATGTATCAGGATCTGAGACAACATTATTGGTGGAGAAGAATGAAGAAAGACATTGTGGGATTTGTAGCTCGGTGTCTCAATTGTCAATCGGTGAAATATGAGCATTAGAGATCGGGTGACTTGCTTTAGCAGATGGATATTCCGAGTGGAAGTGGGAGAGGATCAC